AGTCGTGGAGATGCTGAAGGCGCTGCACGCGCTGCAGAAGGAGAACCAGCGGCTCCAGGAGCAGATCCTGAGCCTGACGGCCAAGAAGGAGCGGCTGCAGGTTCTCAACGTGCAGCTCTCTGTGCCCTTCCCCGCCCTGCCTGCCGTCCTGCCCGCCGCCAATGGCCCTGTCGCTGGGCCCTATGGCCTGCCTCCCCAAGGTAAGGGGCCAGCCCGCGAGTGGGGGCCTATGCCGGGCGGCGGGCATTAGCTCCGATTTCAGGCCTGACCGCCTTCCCTGATCCCCCCAACCCCCACCCCTTCAGCCGGCAGCAGCGATTCCTTGAGCACCAGCAAGAGCCCTCCCGGGAAGAACAGTCTCGGCCTGGACAACTCGCTGTCCACGTCTTCCGAGGTGGGCACCGGTGGACACCGGGAAGGACCGGAGTGGGGAGGCGCAAGGGCCTCCTGGTCCCACCTCCACCCTGCAGCCATTGGAGGTTGAACAATGGAGTGATTGGCAGAGCAATGAGTTGATTGATCCTTCATTAGATAAGTCATAATTACGAGGTTTCTACTTAATGCCAGGCACTGGCAAAGCAATTAGAGCAAAACGGACGCGGTCCTGCTCCTGAAGATAGGCTAAATCCAAGAAAACAGTCCATAATTACAAGCCGGTGAAAGATGCTAAAATGGAAATGATTTGAGGGCTGTGAGGAAGAATGGGGCTTGGGGTTCTTCTGTAGATCTACGGTGGGCAGGGAGACCTCTGTGAGAAGGGTTTGTGACGGGCTCATCACAGTGCCTCACACAAAGAATTCCTGTGTGATTGGCGGTGGTTGGGGAAGCAGTGACTCGTTATGTTGTGGTGATTATTGAAATCAAGCAAACTAGTTTCTTGTTCTCTCTGCCACTTACTGTGCGACTTGGGCAGTAATAATCACCATAATAACGAATATTAACTGCATATATGACCTTTGTCATGTCCGGTGCTGAGAGTTCTAAAGCATCGGTTTGTTTCGTCTTCTCTGTGTGGGATAGGTACCATGGAATAGGTACTATGTAACCCCCATGTAATGAATGAGTAAACTGAGGCAGAGAAGCCACCCGAGCCATTGAATTGGGGACATAGGGTTTGAACCGGAGCCTGTCACCCTAGCTGTCTACAAACTTACTTAGTCTAAGACTGTAGAGGGAAGAACGAGATAGTGCAGGTCAAGCACTGAACCCCGAGTCTGGCTTACTAGATTCTTGTAAGCCATCATTGATGTTTAGTATTAAACAAGGGTGGTGGGTGCTGGAGCCCAGGCAGTGGTCTGTAAACATGATTTGTGAAGACATTTAGGATTCTTAGCCTTCACCCCTGGGCCTTGCTTCTCCTCCTGGGTGGCTCTGCCTGGGGTGAGGTGGGGGTGGCTGTGCTCTCTCAGAATGTTGGTGGGTGCTGGGCTGGGGGCCAGAAATGTCACGCTGGCCCCCTGCCCCTCTGACCCCTCCCTTCCCCCTCCCTCCCCAGGACCCACACTCAGGCTGCCCCAGCCGCAGCAGCTCGTCGCTGTCCTTCCACAGCACGCCCCCACCGCTGCCCCTGCTCCAGCAGAGCCCTGCTACCCTGCCCCTGGCCCTGCCTGGGGCCCCTGCCCCGCTCCCAGCCCAGCCACAGAATGGTCTGGGCCGAGCACCTGGGGCAGCGGGGCTGGGGGCTATGCCCATGGCTGAGGGGCTGTTGGGGGGGCTGGCGGGCAGCGGGGCCCTGCCCCTCAATGGGCTCCTGGGGGGGTTGAATGGGGCTGCTGCCCCCAACCCTGCAGGCTTGAGCCAGGCTGGTGGGGCCCCCGCGCTGCAGCTGCCAGGTTGTCTCAACAGGTGAGGGAAAGCTTAGCCTGGGGAAGGGAATGGGGAGGCTGGCTATTGGGAGGGACTCCCCCCAGACACCCAAGGTCCCCCAAAGGGGAAAGTGTCCCCCAACCATACAGAATTTAGTCACCTCTTGGCCCCAGGGACTCCCTAGATGTTAGTTGTGAGCGCCCTTTGGATGGCAACTTTCTAGGACAAAGCTGTCTCTTTCTTGTACCCCAGTCTAGGTTTTCCTTCTGGGGAAGTTCCATCTAACTCACCTCCCGCTGCACTCTCTGAGCTCAGTCTGTCTCTCTCTAGTCTAAAGTCGCACATCCCTGCCTCTCTCCACCTGGGTCTGAGGGCGTCTGGGAACTCGGGGGAGGGGTGTTTCCCTGTCCCTTCCCATGGTCTGTATTTTGTCCCCCTGCCTCAGCCTAACGGAGCAGCAGAGACACCTCCTGCAGCAGCAAGAGCAGCAGCTCCAGCAGCTCCAGCAGCTCCTCGCCTCCCCACAGCTGACCCAGGTGAGG